TTTTTTTTAATCTTTATTTATTTTGAGAGAGAGAGACAGAGCACAAACGGGGGAGGGGCAGAGAGAGAGGGAGACACAGAAGCCGAAGCAGGCTCCGGGCTCCGAGCCATCAGCACAGAGCCCGACGCGGGGCTCAAACCCACGGACCGCGAGATCGTGACCTGAGCCGAAGTCGGACGCTCCACCGACGGAGCCACCCCGGGCGCCCCAAGACACAATGGAGCTTTAAACTGAGTGAGCACAGGGTCCCTCTGAACGCAGGCCCAGGCCACGTGGCTGTGAAGCTGGCCCTCCTCGGAGCCTTCTGGAAGACGACCCCTCCTCTGTGCGGTACTCCTCGGTCGCTCAGACCACTGGGTCTTTCCAAGAAATGATGCTGCAGCCGCCTGAAAGCTTCTTCCGTCTTTCCAGTGTTAGGAAGAAGCAACTCACTCCCTCATTCAGCAGTTCTGCCCCTGTCCCCGCTCTGAAACGCTCGCTCACCTGGACTTCCAGCCATGAGCAAACCAGATAAATAGTCCAGGAAGGACCGGAGACAGCTCACAAAGCAAGAAAGACTGTGGCACTGTGAGCAAACCAACAGTGAAACCCGGGGAGGGGCGGGCAGTGCCCTGGTCCCCAGCGAGCCAGATCGCTCCGGTTATTTGAGGTGAGGGGGCCCGGGTGTCCCTTTGGCAACAGTTTCTGTCTTCCCCAGGACCCCTCTCCGAAGGTGCGGAGCCCAGAAGGGAGTTCCCTCCGGACCCGGCTTCCTCCCTCAGCACCAACGTCTCGAAGCTCTTCTCCCACCTAGAAGCCGTGACTCTTGAAAGCAGGGATCCCCACAACGCCGAAGACGGCGGCCGGGTGGACAGAACCCCAGACGTGGCGTCCCAGGGGGAGGTCGAGCCCAGAACAGACAGCCAGCCTCTCTCGGAAAGAGCAGGCGAACGCCAGTGAACCTTCGGTACTATGCTTTCTGGGCTCCGTAAGCGTCCTTTTCCGCCTTCTTGCCTCCTGACACGCGACCGGCAAGGGTCAGCGTTTGGGCTGGGCCTGGCCTGGGGCTGGGTCACCTCTGTCCCTACCACCACCTTAGCCCGCCTTCCAGCATGGCTACCCACCCTCCTGTCACTCAAGACCTGACTTCCTCAAGGCCTGTTATGGCTGCCTGACCTCTTTCCAACTCGACCTTTCTAGAACTTCCCTACCTTGACTTTGATCTCTTGGCCCTTCTTAGCTGAACTTCCAGAAAACAGATCCCTGCCGTCCGGGCCCCAGTGGGAGTCACTGGCCAGCCCACGGGCCAGGGGGCCTCTGCTGGCCAGTCGTCAAGGAATGTTTGTCTTACGCCAGCATGGTGCTCGCGGGTGGACGGGGTTCCCTTGGAAGGGCTGTGGGCGCAAGTGGCATTTCCAGAACAAAGGAACGGAGTGGGGTTGGTTCAGAGGACACTCGCGGAGGGATGATGGGAGGAAGACAGAGAAGGCTAGAAGAAGGTGGTGGTCAGCCGGGCAGGGCCATTGTGGACTCGTGTGCTCCACTCGTTACGCCCACGACATACACAGCTACACGTGCACTGTCCCTCCCAATGCCACGCCCGTACGTCTCTCTCTTTTGCATTAACTCTACTGGACCGTGACTGTCCAACGCCCAGGAGCCGCATCCCCTGGGGCTAGCATCCACCTTGGTGGAGGAAGGGCTGGCTCATCACAGAGACTCAGTCAACGAGGTCACTGACCAGGGGTGCTTGGGTGGCTCGTCGGTTAAGCGTCCAACTCGATTTCGGCTCAGGGCATGATCTCAGGGTTTGTGGATTTGAGCCTTGCGTCGGGCTCTGCGCTGACGGCCTGGAGGCTGCTTCGGATTCTCTCTCTCCCTCTCTCTCTGCCCCTCCCCCACACGCTCTCTCTTTCTCTGTCTCCTTCTCTCTCAAAATAAATATATATATATATTTTTTAATGTCACGGAACAAACCTTTATGCCTTTTCAACTTGGCTGGGAAGATCTTGAGTTCCTCGACACGTTGATCAGTGCCCGGACCAATATAGAGCACTTCTGGTATGTCCCCTAAAGGGGACGCGTCCTAAGGCATTGTTTGAGCCCCTGGATCCAGCCATTCCTGAAGCAGGCTCTATCTTTGCTCCTGTCCATTAGATGAGCCCATGTGTCTGTCTCCTTAGTGTGGAAGTCCGCGCCAGGCGGATTTCAGTTTCCCAGTGTGGTATGTCCCTCTCACCTCTGCCGCCGCCTTTCCTTAGCTCTACGCTATGCAGCCAGCAGGTCTCGGCTGAGACGCGACCTCGTCCAAGAAAGCTTCCCAAGCTCTCATTCCAGCCTGTGTCTCTTCGCTGCCCCTGAGGCCTCCTGTGCTTCCCTGTCAAACCCGTGCCATTGCCTTGTTACTCGTCTGTCTCTCAAAACTCACTTTGTTGTAGATGACAGGAAGCTGGGACCCACTTCCCACAGAAGGGGATGTGCTGACTCTTCTCATGCAGACAAGGCCAAGCACGAATCTTGCTTCAGGAACGTCTCCGTCCCGGAAGGCAGACAATGTCTCGGGACGCAGCCTCCCTCTTTCCGTCTCTCTGCTCTGCTCTCCTCTGGGTTGGCAAAGATGGCCCCTGGCAGCTCCTGGCCCCCACCCTGAGCACCGCTTTCCAATAGCCAAGGCCAAGGTGGGTGGCTTTGGTCATGGGACCACCTCCCAGCTGAGGTCATTAGCCGGAGCAACGGGATGCTGTGATTGGCCGACTGGTGTCACATGATCTATCCCTGGCACCAGGATGGGGGGGTCAGTCAGCCACCCCCAAGTCACCTGGCTTGAGGGCGTGGCCAGTGCTCTAAAGTCACAGAAAAGGGACAGGCGCGGAGCTCAGAAGTCCACCGCATCTCCCCCGGCATCGGCCGGTGAATTCCCTGGGCACGGGGGCCTGGTCTCTCCCCTCTGCACCCCCGGTGAATGCTGGACAGACCCCCTTCCCTGTGCGCCATGCGGCCCGGCCCTGGGGCTGCCGGCGGAGGACGACCCAGCCCTGACCGCGGTGAGCACTTCGCAGTCGGCGGGAGAGGCGGGCATCGCCATGGGTCCCGAGCAGGACTAAGCACAGGGGGGTGGGGGAGGGCGGAACCCCCAACACACTGTCTGGAAGGTCCCCGAGGCTCCTGGGGGAGCGAGGTCGGGTGGGGTGGGAACGACGTTCTAGGAGGGACCACGGGCGGGGCAGACGCCCGGACCGGAACAAGGGACCTCGTGCAGAGCTCCATCGTGGGTTGGGTGCTGGAAAGCACGGTGCAAAGAAAACGTGCAGGAGGTTGGCTGGAGGGAACCAGGTGCCCAACCACGTGTGCCTGGGACTTTGGGCTCGACCCTGAGTGCTGTACAAGCCCCGCCCTACCTGTCTCCCAGGGACGACCTGGCGCCCCACGGGCTGGAATTGCCCGGCCTGCTGGGGGACAGTTCTCTCTGCCACCGTGTTGACCTGGGGTCCCCAGATCATTCCCCCCCACCCCCGGGATATCCGCTTGGCCCACGTGCCACCGGGTCTAAGGGGCTGGAGATTGGCTTTGGCTCGCTGCTTCTGGGATCGTCTTTCGTCTGTGGCGAGCTGAAAACGGCTCGCCTCCAAGTTTGCCCCAGGTCTGTGGTTAACCAGGCCCTGTCAGCGGAGGATCCAGGATCCTCAGTCCGCACCGCCAGCCCCCGGCCGGAGCGCTCCGGTTCCTGCGAGATCTCCCCTCTCTGTATAATTAATTCGCCGTAAACACGCTGACAAAGCACTGCCAGCGGTTAATGGGAGCTGGAGGTGAAGGTCAACGCTGGGCTGTTCAGGAGAGAAATTAACTAGCTACCATTAGCTAGCCGGGAATGATGAAGTCCGTGCAGCCCCCCGCCTTTTGTTCTCACCAGCCCTCCACCCACACAGCCTCCCTTCCCCCCTGAGCTGTGCAGACAGAGTTTGCAGTCCCCGGACTTGAATGGGGGGCAGTCTGCTGCATGAGTCACAGGTGGTCTTCCCGAACCACCGCAAACTGCTCACAAACGCAATTCTGTTTTCTCGTCCAGCTTCCCTACTTGTCTCGGGATGAGCCCAGGTGGGACCCCTCACCTGGGGGGCGTTAGCCGACAGCCAAGGTGGGGGACTCTGAGCAGCCAGCAGTCTAGGGAGTCGTTCGGGAGCATCTTGGCTGTGACAGAAACGTGGCTCACCTAGACTTACCAAAGAATCTGTTTGCTCGTGCCACTGGGAAATCAAGAGAAGCTAGCTTCAGGAATGGCTAGATCCAGGGACTCAAGCATTACACTCAGGCCTCTCTCTCTCTCCGTCTCTCCGAGAGACTCTCTTCATGTGTCTGCCCGCTGCTCAAGGCTTAGGGCCTGCGAGTTTGGCAACTCCAGCAGAAAAGGGATTCTTCAAGCCAGATACTGCGGGTAGGATGTCCCGGAGAGGGTTCGGATTGGTCAAGCACCGGTAACAGGCCTGGGGCGGCTTGTTAAGTGGAGCCCACGCCCCGGGGCGGAGCCTTCCAGAGTCAGAAGGTTAGCCAATTGCCCAAGGTTAGGAGGTTAGACAATTGCCCAAGAGGTAGAGACGGGATTTGACCCCCGGCCCCTGGGCTCCCAAGCCAGTGCTCTGACACCTGCTCCTGGAGAAGCAGTTTGGGCCACAGCCACCGCCTGGCTCTCTCTCACCGCCTGGCTTCACTTTTTGTGACACGGGATTCCCTCCCTCTTTTCCCCACCCCCACCTGGGACCCTATGGCTTTTGTTGCCCTCAGTGGGCTCTCCACGAGCTGCTGGAGGGGGGACGGAGGTCTGGCTGCTACCCATTTGGGCCTTGAAGCCCCCAGAAGGCCCGGCATCATCTGGGAGCCGTACAGCCAGGCCCGTCTCCCGGTGGGAGGTGCTGGGGTGCACAGACACAATCTGGAACGGAGGCCCTCCCTGTCTGTGCGACCTCGCCCTCAGGTGCCCCTGTAACGGCCCGGAGCCTCAGCCTTCTCCTCTGCAGAATGGGCCGGGGAGGCAATCGAGGCACGTTTGCTAGAGGGTCAGACGAGATGGTGCTGAGTCACAGCCAGCCGGGCCACACGCGCACGAAACTCAGCACGGATGGTTCCCCCTCAGGGTCCGTGTCACCCACATCTCCCCTCTGCCAGGGACACGTGGCAAAAGTCTGCAGACATGTTTGGTTGTCCCAGAGACAGAGGGTGGGGTGGTTTCCTGTTACTGCTGTAACAAATCACCATGAAGGGGTTCAAAAGAACCCAGGCTTCCTCTCCGACAGGGCGGAGGGCCAGAAGTCCCGCACGGGCTCCGCTGACAGGTCAGGGTGTCGCAGGGCGGCTCCCTCTGGAGGCTCCAGGGAGAATCCGTCTCCCGGCCTTTCCGGCTTCCCGAGGCCACTTGCGTTCCCTGCTCACGGCCCGTCCTCCACCCCCGACTCAAGCATCATCGCACCTTCCGCTCTCCCTCTCTTTCTCACCCTCCGTCCTCCTCTAAGGACCCTTGGGACGCCACGGGCCCCACCTGACAAGCCGGGACCATCCCCTCCCCCCGTCTGCGCGAAGTCTGCTTCACGGGGTCGCAGCTTCTGGGGATTAGGGCAGGGACATCACTGGGGGGCATCATGCAGCCCCTCCCCCCACAACAAAGAGCCACCAAGTCCCAAATGCATGGGGAGCCACACCGAGAAAGCCTGCCATAGGTGACATTGTTGTTGCCATCATTAACATCATGAAGACCGAACCATGAGTGGGGTGTGGCATTGCGGTGTTAGGAGTACCCTGAGTGTAACCTCAGGTAAACCCCGGCAACTCTGGGCCTCGGTTTTCTCCTCTGTAAAATGGGCAGAAATAAGGACAGCACCTTATCCACAGAGTTTATGCCGAGGTCTTACACTGTGACTCAGCTCAGGGCGCATCTAACAAATGCTGGTGTCCGGGCTCACCCCAGACCA